GTTAGAATTCCTTTCTCTACATCCTGGTATTCTTTTATGAAGAGGGTTGAATGTTTGAAATGTTCAAGCGTGACGTCACGTGTAACGGTTACTGGGATGGAGGCCGCACAGAAAGAATGCGATTTATTTGTTTTATTTTATTTGATTTATTTTTCGTACTAATATATTTTGTGCGCACATTAATTATATCATTTAAAACGCCATCTTTTATGGCGAATGATACTTTAGTTAATGTGGAATGTTTATTTTGTATGATAATAGCTTCCAGTATTTTGAGTTTTCGCTTGCATCGAGGGCTGTAGAGAATTTTGATGGGATATACCAATATTTGGGGTTTGCAGAGAGACGGAGCAAGAGTAAAGAGGCGTGGTAGAGGAAACGATGGAGTGAACGACGGGGAATTTGTTCAAGGGTTTGTGAAGATGTCGATTGACATTGCATTTGAATATTTGGAGAGTATCGCTAACAAGGAAGCAAGTAAGAGGAAGGGAGTTCCATAGACGGGAAGTACGAGACATGAAGCTATTGGAGTAGAAGAGACGGCCATATTTAACCGTTTCGACAGTGAAAGGGTGGGACTGAGATGCCAGCCTAGTAGCATGTTTAAATTCATGCAGTTTGAGTACCAGCGACAGTAGCTCGTCGGAGCAGTTACCGTGAATGTATTTGTAGAAAAGACAGAGGGAAGCGACGGCAAATCTGTGAGAGAGCGACTGTAAACGAGATGCCAGAACAGAATCATATTGCATATCCGTTTTTGGAGTTTGTCGAGGACCTTAACAGCGAGGGCTCTAAACCATATATGGCAGCAGTATTCCATGCAAGGGCGAATGGTCGATTTATAGATTTGAATGATGGACTCTCTCTCGGAATTTCTGGCGCGACACATAGAACCAAATTTCCTTGCGTAGATGAAGATATTGATTCAATGTATTTGTTCCATCTCAAGGTCAGCGGTCAGTGTGAGACCGAGCATGCGCAGAGAGACACTCTCGTGGAGTTGAGCACTAGACATTCTAATGGGAGGCAGAGAACGATCTCTGTGGTGGGTAAAAGAGATCATTTTTTTTTTGTTTTTTTGAGCCATTAAAGTTTACCGGCCATTTTTTGCCCGAGTCAACCACAGATTAGAGTTTCTTTTCGAGACCAACGGCCAGGTAAGTTTTCTCAGCGATACCAGATTTGATATCGTGTTGATAGTTACATTTTGGTCGTTCATGATCTACTGGTCGATGTGTGCATTGATTGCGTTGAGATTTTAGACGTGACAGATCAATCTGCAAGAGAGTGTGTATGTGTGCTCAATGTAAGTATTTAATGTTATTTTTTTCTATTATTGATGTTGGAGATGCAACATTACAGGCAGAAGAATAATCCAATAGACAACATAATTTTTTTTCTCTATAGGGTGGATTTTTGAGGCAGGGTGTTGTTGGTAATAATTAAATTAAATGTTTTAAACTTTTTATAGTAAATCTTAAGTGGTTGTTAAGATCATTTAGTAATATGCACTGATGAGTTATGTTTTTAATTGATTTTTCATCCTGTTTATAATTAGGGCGTATTTACTTACGATAAAATAAGTTAATGGTATACACTATTTACATTATTCGGACTATTGTTCTCATCTTTGTCGCCATATTTATTACAACGTTTCGGCCGTTGTACGCTCCGGCATTCTTTATGTGGTGGGAATGTCGAACTGAACCTTTTATTTCTCTCACTGGGGTAGGCTGTTCTAGTTCCACGTGCCATATTTAATGGATGTCAGTTATCAGTTATCTTCTGTTAATTCCCCACTCTAAGTTCTACACTGCCTTAACCGGGTATTGAACTCACACTCTTTGGGTCCTGTGACTGAATCTGGGGATAAAGATGAGGACAATAGTCCGAATAATGTAAATAGTGTACATAATACCTCATCTCAGAAATATAGACAGATACTGAAATTAATGAGGAGGGAGATGTAGAAGTCAAGTGACTTACCTGCCAACATGGCTGCCTTCTTCTGTTTCCTCGTAAAGCAAGCCAGCTGATTTTACCTCATTTTACTGGAGAGTGCCTAATACACCAGTTAGGTTGGTCTATTTTGCTAGAATGGACCTGCCAAATACATTTGTATGAGTGGTCTTTATTCACCCATATATTTCTCCATTAAATGACTCAAGTCAGTTTTAGCTTTGGCTACACTTGCCTACTTGTGTGTCAGACCACTGGCAAGCTAACAAATATTCTACAGTTCGGTTATTTTTGTTTGCGTCAGAGAGGAGTCTGGCGTCATTTTAAAAAAAAATTCTTTAAAGGTAATTTAAATAGCTCTTCGACGCCAGGTTTAGAGAACTTTAATGTTGATCTGGGTTTGCCTGAAGACTACATTACTTTAGCTCGATATATCATGTTTTTTTTTAAATTTTATTTATTTATTTTTTAATAACAGCTATATCAATGGGAACATCCACTTTAGTAGTTAAGTAAACACGAGTTTCTACTTGTGGGTTTGTTTGTGAGGGTGGGGGTAAAATTATGGGTATTGGCATAGACTAATACGTCAAGAAAAATGGGTTTCATTGTTAATTTTTATTAGACGACGTATGTAAAGTGTAACAGTTGCTCTTAAAGTTTATCCCATTTCGACCATAAAATGATGAAACCTGTTTGCCAATCTAGTACTGTACTTAAATTGAGGCACCAAAGAGAAAAGTTCATCACAGAAATTACCATGAAAATATTTCTAGAAAATTGGACTGCCCGTGACCTGTTGGGTAACTGACGGTTCAGGCTATGAAACATTGAAGATGATTTCAACATTCCATGAAAATGAATGTGTTATGGGGTCCACCTTTTTCGGATATAATGGACTCGTCCGGCTGCCATGTCAGGCAGAGAAGAGGAGTCGTACATGAGTCGTACCGGAGGCGTAGGGTGTCGGATGGAGTAACCTCTTGTAGAAGTCAGTTACAAGCACGTAGACTCTAAGGAAGTCCTACTTCAAGACTGTATATATCTATCTATATTTGCTACTAACCGTGTTCCTGGATTTTAATAACAGCATTACCTTTTGTATTTTGTGTAAATACATTTAATTTCTTAGCTTAAATACTTGCGTTTGTCATTTATTGGATACCTATTTTCACGCGGGATCCACAACAGAAAGTTAATTACATTATGATTCTGTTAAATATTTCAATTCGTTCGTGCCATTATTTTCAACGGAAAACGTTAACCCGAGAGGATGCACTGAGTCACTCCTGTGGAGGTTAGCATCAGCCATACAAAACAAGAGAGTAGTCTCGTTTTGGAGTCAGTTATTCGCCATGCGTGATACACACTTAGTCGATCATGTATCTTTACGATGATAGACGAGGCAGATTTTTTTCCCGGAGTAGGTTGCCATTTCTTTCTGCGGTAGACGAGTTGCCATCCAAGGCTATAGAACCCAGTCTGTCCTGCTATTTACCCATAGCTAGGTGGGGAAGAAGAGGTTTCATACCTTTCCCAAGGGTATTAGTACGTAAGTGAACGTAATGGATTCGACTGGAATTCGATCACGACTCTCCGATTTCTCAATTCGAGCCACTATCCATTACTCCTTTTAATTTACCAAGCCATTTCTATCTATGATCTGTTTAATTTTGCTATTTACCTTGCATATATAGGCACGTGAAAATGCGTAATCCCTGTCATTTAATATTAGATGGAGTTGCTATAAAATTCGGATATTTTTAAATTCGGGTTTTTAACCTGTATCCTGATACCAGAATTTAAACCACTACCGATATACCCATTCAAGCACACCACCAAGAAAATGCGAGGATGGATCAAGAAATCCGTCAACAGACACTTTTTATCTGAAATGATCATTTAATAACGATTTATCTATGTTTTTAACATTCCCTACTGAATTATTTGGATGGTTAAAAGCTCGAAAAGAGAAATGTGCGAGCTGAGTTCGAATTCTGGTCGAGTTCGTCACTTTTGCACAAATAACCTTGAGAAAGGTAAGAATTTATATCTTCTTACTCTAGCTATGGGTTAAATAACAGAACAGACTGAGATCTCTAGCCATAGTTGGTAACTAGTCTATGAGAAAAAAAATTATACGTTCAAAACTATATGTAGCTCTGGTGATGTACAGTGTGTCCGTAAAGACACACACGCAAAAATGCATATTTTCAAGAAATTATATTTTCGGTGACATTTTATTGAATTCGAATATTAAAAAATAGCATCTTCAATATGATTTCCATCATTTGCAAATGTTAATGCGCTTTGCAAGATTCACGTGAACTCGATGCAATAACTCCACATTTTAGCACACTTACTCATTATACGTTCAATCAAGAAGTGTGTTGCATCTGTGATTTTCATTGAGTGCACCTTCTCTTTTAGCAGACTCCAGAAAAAGAATTCAATTCTTTCTTCTTTCGAAAAAACTATGTTTAATTCTTGGAGGTAAAAAAATATCGTTAATGAGATTTCTGATGGGTTCAAACTTTAGGGCCACATCCTGTAGAATCGACAAAGCCAACGAAGGAATCGTAGGGTTTACAATGGCCTTGTGATACCGACGGTTGTTAATGTGATAGATAATCGATTGAATTAAGGACATTGACAAGGAAGGAGATTATTTTACGTATTAAAAAAGAATAAATAACGATATAAATAAATGTCTTTTTCATCGTGTTGTAGCCGGACTAAGATATAAATGTGAATACACATACCAGGCTAAAAGATATGCAAATGTAACAGAATGCAACACCTAAATGGCCAGTTGTTTTATTCTGGTACACGTGCAGCTTATGAAATGACCTCCTACATTTATTTGCAGTTGAAGACAAAGCAAAATTGATTATTTTGCTGTTTCTAATCCTTTGCTTCATTTGACAAAATATTTTGCTTTTCACATCTTTTTTACTTTCTACTCATTTTATTCAGGGGTAAAATTGTTCAAATATTTAAGGAACTGTTCTCGCTTGTTTTATATCCCAAATTATGTGTAAATGAAATTCTTCTTCTACTTCTTCTTCATTTTCTTCTTCTCCTCCTCCTGCTCCTCTTTTTCTTCCTCCTCTCCTTCTCTTCTTCTTCTTGCTTTTCTTCTTTCTCTTCTTCATCATCATCTTCTTCTTCGTTTTCTTCTTCTAATTCCTCCTCTTCTTCCTCTTCTTCGTCATCATCTTCTTCTTCGTCGTCTTCCTCCCCCTTCTTCTCTTTTCTTCCTCTTCATTTTCTTCTTCGTCTTCCTCCTCCCATCTTCTTCTTCCTCCTCCTCCTCCTCCTCCTCTTCTTCCTCCTCTTCTTCCTCCTCCTCCCCATCTTCTTATTCCTCCCTTTCTTCTTCTTCCAACCATTTACTGAAGTTCATTATTCGCTGCTTTCCTCCCCCTTCTTGTCTTCAATATGTCAGGTGAGTATCACCTTTTCCAATCCCTCTTTCCTCAGTACGTACTAATGCTATGTTTAAATGTCCTTTACGTGTCCATTTTCTCTAAAACTTCGTCGTTGCTCACGTGATCAGACTAGGGTAGTCTCAGCATCCTTCTGTAGAACCATATTTCTGTTACCTCCATCGGTGATGAGATAATCCAGTCTTCTTTGCTATTTACGATTATCGATATTGCATAATTTCTCTTTTCTTTTTTCCCCCAATAATATTTCCTGTTTCTTAATACATTGCTTACATTTTGGAAGGCATCTTTCGCTATCCCAATGCGCCTTCGTATTTTGGTGTCGTATTTTTCCGTTCTCTGTTAAAGCCCTTCCTAGATATTTTAATTTTTGCTCCTATTTACGTTTGGTATTTCCATTTAGAAATCGGATATCACGCCAGACTGAAATCCAAGCGCACGTCGGATTAGCGAAAGATGCATTCCAAAATCTCTATCGATAAAAGGCAGGATGTGTGTGTGTGTGTAACGAATGCACGGCCGCAATTTTCGACGGATTTGCACCGAAAATTACATGCACATGCTCCAAGTTAGCGCGAAGGCCAAGACCGACTTTGCATTTCCCAACTCCCATCGATAGTGAAAATAATCGATTTTTTCATGCTTCTACGTCAGTTTTCATGCAGTTTGCGGCCATTTTCTACTGAACAGAGTGAGAGCCTATAGCTGGCTGCCACGAATAGGCAGGAAGATTCTATTGGCCAGTGTGAGAGCCAACAGCTGACTGACACGAATGTTAACTAGCATGCAAAAAAAAATTGATAGCTGCATTCGTCACAAGTGGGAAAAATTTAAATCTGCATGGCACTTTACTCCAATTGGCACATTCGCTTGCTTAAACTCAACGTTGATTCTGATTCCGCAGAACTGGGTTGGGTGTGAAAAAGTATTTGTTGTTAATATTCTTTCTTCATTCGGTTTTTCCAGTTACGAGTCCTTTTTTTAAAGCTGATCGTTTTGTGTTCATTTTTTTAGTTCTTTTCTCGTAACAGATTCAATGTTCAGTATAGAGCTTAGTAAAAATTCGCAGTGTGAGATAGGCAAGAAGTAAGGCATGTAGTAACATCAGCACGGCAAAGGGTACTCCTTTAAAGGCAAGGAAGGGCAAAATATTTTAAGTCAAGTGGTAGCGATTGCTGTATGAGTCGTACGATTTTTGATACAAGCCTGGGCAACGCCGGGTCATGCTGCTAGTACATAATAAAAATAAAGGTTAAAAGCGTTTAAGAACGGAAAACACACACACACACACACACACACACATATATATATATATATATATATAAGCGTTTAAGAACGGGTGTAGCAGTTCAGAGTAAATACAGTCTTAGAGAATATACACGAGTATAGTTAGGGCAAGTTTATTTCTTACGTAGAGGTAAAATAATTAGCATAATCCAATCTATACCTCTCAAGGCTAGTCTATCCCCACCACTTTCATTATTAGTATCAATCATGGCCGGTGCGTACTAACCCCGAACCCTCAATCTTAGGGAGCAAGCCTGATTGGGGCCCCCGGGCTGTGCTTTGTGACCCTCGCTATCTAATCATTTGCTTTTTCCTACCTACATTTATATATGTTTACAAATTAAACTAAGCACACCTGAATATTTAAAAATGAAAAATCTTTGTAAATGTTGACGTCATTCTGGGGTCTTTTTTTACGTCCGAGTCCACGAATTTGTTTTTCTCGTGTTAAGTCTGCGAAAATTCACTGTTTCTTATCCATAATGTTGAATGTATTAAAATTCTTCAACTTTTTAACAAGAAAAATTTCAAGTTAATGTTAAAAGTTACCGCAAAAAAATTGTTGATTTATTTAAGATGGAAAGATCTATTATGACATGTCTCTAACTTATATTTACATACATTGTATTTATTTTCAGTTTTTCTAATTGAATTGTTCACCTGTATTGTATATGATCCATTATTGAACATAATTAGGCTAGAATAAAATTTGCATTTTATATGAATATTATCGTATGAAAATTAACATGTATTTGTGTGGAGGGTGGCATCTAATATATTTAGTGGGTGTATCATAGATTCAGTTGGTATTAAATCCTTGCACCAGCTCTGGTATCAACAATTTTTTTTTAACTATAATGGTATGCAATGACTCCAATCTATAATCTTGTATTAATGGCTGATACGAACTCATACAACAATAATTTTGTATGGAAAGGGATTGACAACATTAAAATTAGTGATCGATCATAAACTAGTCGGTCATTTCAAATTCAAGTTTGAGCAAGAAAGAAAAAAATGTTCAACTAATCTGGAATTCTATCGAAATACATGTATATCTTTTGTTTAGAAATATGTACATTAGGGTTATCTAATCTATTTATTAATTTATTCCTCTTTCCTTTCTTCTTTTCTTCCTTTTTTCTTCCTGTGTATTCTCCTAACTTAATTCGTTTTTTTTTCTTCTATTTTCATTGCTTCTTTCCTTCTGCCTTATCTCTTTCGTTATTTTCCCTTTTGAACATCTTTCCTTCATTCAATTCTTTATATTTTCTTACTTTCATTCTTACGTCATTTTCCTTGTCAATACTTTTCCTTTATTCATTACATCTTTTCTCTTTTCCTACAATTTTATTTTCTTTTTCACCTCTCGTTTTACATTCTCTTTTCTTTATATTGCTTTTTATTACGTCTTTTCTCTGTTCATTCTATTCGCCTTTTTCTTTCTTTCTTACTTTTCTCATTCTTCTTCACGTTTCTTTGTGCTTTCTTCCCTGTCTCTACTTTTGGTTATTTTTTTTCTCTCTTCTTTGCAGTTTTATCTTTGTCTTTCCTTCATCCTTTTCTTATTTTTCCTTCTCTTCTTCTTTACATCTTTTTGCTCTTCCTTCCATTTTCTTTTCCATCTTTTTTTATCTTTCCTTCTCTTCTTCACACGTATTCTCTATTTCTTTCTTCCTTTTCATTATCTTTCATTCGGATTGCTTTACAATATGTTCTCTATTCCTTCCCTTTTCTTTCTTTTTTCTTGTATGCATTTTGTTATCTTTCCTTCTCTTCTAACTCCCTTCTTTTATCCTTTCTTTCTTTCTTTCTTTCTTTCTTTCTTTCTTTCTTTCTTTCTTTCCAGAAATTTATTTTCTACTTTCTTTGGTTTAGATTTCAAAATTCTTGCCTTCTTTCTCTATTTTATTTCTTCATTCTCTTTTCTCGTCATTTCCCTTCAATTTGGCCATATTTTATTTTCTCCGTTTATTTTCCAATTCCGTTTTCTTTCATGTTTTAAAAGGTTTTTTGACCTCAACATTTTTTTCTATCTTTCAAGGATTGTCTTTTCACTTGTAAGGCTCTCCTCGGCAAATCACTGTTTCTTTTCCAAACTTCAGGTTTTCATGATTTACTTTCAGGTCACCAACGCAAATATAAAGATCAAAACAGTTTCACATTTTTTTTCTTCCTCTTTCTCAACTTCACATTTATATAACCACATATAACGGCAAGCAAATATACATTTACCACAAACGCTCTTCCAATATCTTTCTAAAGTTATTTCTCTATAGATGGACACTCTCATACATTCCAACTCTCTTTTTTTCTATTTCTCACTTAAATCTATGCACATCATAGTGATATATGTATTATGCAAAATTCCATTGCCTAATTCCGTCCGATAGACAAAATCTCTGCCACATGAATTGGAAATACACTACAGATATCGAGAGAGGATTCTTGGGCTTATACACGGGTGATTCAAAAAGTAATGTGATTTTTTTTTTATTATATAAACAATATGGAACGCGATCAAACATCAATATCTTAGCTATACATAATGGGTTCACATTCCTGTCTATGAAGATATTCACCATTTCTTTCAATGGCAAAGTTCCATTTATGAATGTATCGCAGCTTCTTAAAACTAAAATCTGCTAGTGTTGCCAATTCCTACAGCAGTTTTCCCTTCTTCATCCACCACCTAAACATTTACCCCTCAGTGTCTCTTTCATTAGACCAATAGATGGAAACCTGAGGGTTTTAAATCAAGAGAGTTGACAGAGTTTTTTCACCCGATTGCCTACATGTTCTGAGGCTCGACTGAGGCCTGGTGTCATCATGTTATAGAAGTTTATTCCTATCCAAATTTGATCTTAGAAGATTCTTGCTCTAAGTCTTTTAAGGGTCTCAGCGTATGTTTTGGAAAGACTGCTTCTCTTCTTTGCAAGAATCCGACAAGAATAATATCTTGAACATCCTACAAGACAGTCGTCGTGATTTTTCCAGCTGGCTTTTGTCTTTGGGGACATTAGATGTCTCCATTCTATTCACTATCTTTTTCGTTCTGGTTCATAATGCAGTTAACTATTTCAGTCATCTGTCATTTGTCGGGGTACCCAACGGGACCACACTTTTGAATATCTAAACGATTCCATAATATTTCGAGCATAGCTAACACCGAGATCTGAATTAAATCAGCTCTGAATTAAATCGTCTGTTTTTTCCTTGTTGGCAGGGTTGACATAAATTGATGGATGGCCACTACGAGGCCCCGGTCTGCGAAGCTTCAATTTCCCAATTCTTCTTGATCTTTTGAATTCTCATTTCGCATTCAGACGGTGCCCCATCTCCACACATTGCTGGAGTCTAAAGCTTTATTTTCGTATAAGTTTTTCAGTCTTTAGTGAATGTTTACCGGAGTTTCTCTTTCGGAAACAAATAAACCAATTACCGCTTTTTCCTTTTGACGAACTTCAGCTGGACAGCCATTTTTTTATTAGCCCATTTATTCTTATATCTGGGAAAAAAAATAGATATTTTTTAAAAATCGGTATCACCCTACGCAGTAAAGCCACTAAGACACAAGGTCTCGGTGTGGAAAAATTAGAAATGGTAACATTAATAATGAAGAGTAAAGAGTAACCAGGAGGACAGTAGATAACGATTGACTGAAGAGCATGGAGCCGTAAGATAGTTCCACAATTTCTTCCCGTCTTTCTTTCTTTCTTCCTTTCTTTCTTTCTTTTCTTTCTTTTTTCTTTCTTTCTTTCTTTCTTTCTTCACATCTGTTATCTATTTCTTTCTTTCTTTTCGTTATCTTTCATTCTCATTGCTTTACATCTTTTCTCTGTTCCTTCCCTTTTTCGTTCTTTTTTCTTGTATATATTTCCTTATCTTTCCCCCTCTTCTAACTCCTTTCTTCCCTTCTTTCTTTTTTCCCTTCTTTCTTTCTTCCTTTCTTTCTTTCTTTCTTTCTTTCTTTCTTTCTTTCTTTCTTTCTTCACATCTGTTATCTATTTCTTTCTTTCTTTTCGTTATCTTTCATTCTCATTGCTTTACATCTTTTCTCTGTTCCTTCCCTTTTTCGTTCTTTTTTCTTGTATATATTTCCTTATCTTTCCCCCTCTTCTAACTCCTTTCTTCCCTTCTTTCTTTTTTCCCTTCTTTCTTTCTTCCTTTCTTTCTTTCTTTCTTTCTTTCTTTCTTTCCAGAAATTTATTTTCTACTTTCTTTGGTTTGGATTTCAAAATTCTTGCCTTCTTTCTCTATTTTATTTCTTCATTCTCTTTTCTCATCATTTCCCTTCAATTTGGCCATATTTTATTTTCTCCGTTTATTTTCCATTCCGTTTTCTTTCATTTTTTTAAAAGGTTTTTTGACCTCGACATTTTTTCTATCTTTCAAGGATTGTCTTTTCTCTTGTAAGGCTCTCCTCGGCAAATCACTGTTTCTTTTCCAGACTTCAGGTTTTCATGATTTACTTTCAGGTCACCAACGCCGTAAGGTAGTTCCACAAGCGAGAAGTGTAAGAAAATAAACACTTACCATAGAATTTACGACTTCATGTGGCCCGGTCAGCTGTGAATTGATGAGATCTCGATGCTAGTCTATTACTAGGCTTATATTCAAAAACGCTAGGTACTATAGCGAAGAGTTCATCTGAACAATTGCCATAAAAGTATTTATAGAAAAGGCACATGGAGGCAAACTTACGGCGGTGAGAAAGTAACTGAAGCAGAGACGCCAGATCAGGACCAATAATATTGCTGATTCTTCTTTGAATTTCAACAAGGAGACCAAGGTAAATAGCAAGAACACCGGACCATATGTGGCATCAATATTCTAATCATGGAATATAGATTCTGGGGAGAAAATCGTCTCGCACGACACAGTGAACCAAATTTCTTAGAAGCTGGCCTAGCGATGGATAATCTTTCCACTTCATCTCAGTTGAGAACATTAGCCCAATTAAGCGCAACGTGTCAATTTTATGGAGGTTAGTATCAGCCATGCAGATGGAAGGCAGAGTGGGGTCTCTCAGATGATTTATGGAGAGAAGTTTATTTTTTAAGGCGTTAAAATTAACAAGTCATGTTTTTCTCAGTTAACGACGGACTTGAAATAAGGATAAAGTGTTTATGTGTTTCTAACATCTGTACCAAATTTAAAATAATTCCATTGAGAAATGCGCCTTCTATGACAAAAACTGCATTACTTTATTTATTTTAACTCACGCTTGTAATTAACGACAAAAGGGTGTGCAGTCGCTGTAAGCGAAATCTTTGCTGATGTTGACCAGAAATAATATCAATGACATTTCCCAGTTGACGTTGCAGCAGTTTCAAACATCTATTTGTAATGTTTTGGAATAGCTTGTTACTCTCGGGAGAAAGAATTCTCGTTCATGTTTTAAAGTGACAATTTGTAGGGCATTTGTGTTAACTAAAATGGAAAATAAGAATTTTCACGATGAACAGACTAGATGGCTTTCTAGCGGCAGCTAATGTAATTGTTGACGATTGCCAAATCTTAGCCAAAAGAGTTAAAGAAACACTAGAGACCAACGGTACATGTTGAATTTATAATTAACGAAATCTTGGTTATGTAGACGATGTCGGTTAAGTCTTTGCTAAAATGTTTTAATGTTAACCAGAAACAATATTGAGTAGACCCCTTCAATTTGTTTTTAGGAGATTTTCAGATGGTTGCTTGAGAAAGACTTATCAATGTAAATGGGACATGGTTACAGACCAGACAATTCTGAATGAATCCCAAAGTCCCCAGTAAAATTCCTGGCTCTGATTTTTAAGATAAAAAAGATATTTTTATCATCCCAACTGGAAGACGTGTTTTATAAGGCAAATCACCTATTTACATGTTTATTGCATTTATTTTATACAATTTATTCCAGATCATTGTCTAAATGAAAGTTGTGTTTTGTTTTTAGTGTTGAAGAAGAAGACAATAACAAATACCGAACAGTCATGAAGTTCCTGTTATCTCAGAAGGAAACGCCCAAAGAAATCCATGAGTGTACGATGCAAACATTATTTGACAAGTGTAAATAATGCTTGCATCGTACATTCATGGATTCGCAGTGGTGTGCGGTAAGATGAATATTTTTTCAGGGTGTATGGTGAAATTTGTTTGGCCTTGAAAACTATTGCGTCATCCGTGATTGCATCAGATTTTTATCATGCCCAGAGACTATTGTCTCGACTGTCGATTAGTTGTCCTACAGACATTGTCTGCGATGGACGTTACTCCAAGGAAGCGTGAGAAAATCCTAACACTGCACAAACACACTGGCAAGCTTTACCAGTGAGCAAATCAAAGTACCATAGACTGGCCCGGAAATTCTCCTGATTTAAATGCAATCGAGAATCTGTGGTCAATCTGCAAGGAACGACTTTGTGGAATGAACATACGAAGTACTAACATGTGCAATGAATCATGTTTCATTGGAAAAATACGAAAAAAAAGTAAATAATAATGCAGTTATACGTTTTGCTTCAATTAATTTTCACAAAGGTGTAGTTCATGGCCTGATATTGACTTATCGATGAATCTCGACTGATGCAATTGCAGAATCCAGAGAATGCGTTCAGTTTATAATTAATGAATAGTTGGGTATGCGGAAGTATTCAGGCAATTGAGTGCCAAAATGTTTGAATGTCGACCAAAAACGGAATCAAGAGGACACACCTCCAATTTGCTTTTGTATACATTGTCCAGGATCTAAATTCTAAATTTCTGTATTTGTTTTTTTTTTTTGCATCTCCTTTTCGTAGTTTGCGGCTTTTTATCTTGCTAACGACCCTGATTTCGGCCATTTTACAATAGACAATCCACCCTACTCACAAGGAGTAGATAAGTTTGATTATCGACCGGTTTACAAACATTACCGGTTTTTTGAACAGGAGTAGGTATTTATCCCTTATTTCCTGTTTAGGATTGGCTTTCGGGTTCATACTAAAGCCTTCTTATTCCCTTTCACTTCTAGTAGCCACCTTGCGTCTTAGTGGCATTATAGCCTTCCTTGCAGTGAAATAACTAAAAAAGAAATATATCATTCAGCTGATTATTTTCTTTGTAGAATCATTATAAAATTTTTGAAAAATGCAATGATTCTTACGCGGTAGCATTAGCCAACGACTATTTCAGGATTTGCCCAGGGCTAGATTGATTCGTTTATCAACCCTTTGCATGATAATTAAACCCAGAAAATATTTTTAGATTGGAATTTTTTTTTTTTTTTTAGATAATAATAGTTTAGTGATACAATATAAAATGAGAGATCAATTCTATATTACAGTCATTACATGAACTGGTCCCTCTCTTTATGTTCACACTAGTTTCTGTATATCTATATTCCAGTGAATATAGCTAAATCTAAAAGATATGTGTAGCTAATCGGTATTTCATTGATTGACTGATTCGTTTCTACGGCAGGTTATTTAAAGCCAGAAAATATTTTTAGATTGTAAAGATTTTGTTAGGAGATTATTTTTTACAATGATGTTCACACCGTACAGGGCTCGAGAGCCACTCCAGGTAGAGGTTTACAGAATACGAATAAGACACAGAGAGTCAACCTTACGGCGGTGGGAATGTGACTGAAGCCGAGCCGCCAGATCAGCACCAATAATATAATATTGCTGATTCTACTTTGGATTTTATCAAGGAAAGCAGGGATTAATGGAGAGACGTTTAGTTTTGGAGGTGTTAAAATAAACAAGCCATGTTTTTCCCCAGTTAACGACGGACTTGAATTAAAGGTAAAGTGTTTATGCGTTTATGTACCAAATTTAAAATAATGTTATGTATGTACATATGTGAAGATGATAACCGCAAACCTTAGGCTTGAATAGGTTAAGATAATAATGATTTATTGACACGGCTTACTACTGTTATCTGTTGCCAGAAGAGGTGAAGTCATACCTTTTCATACTTCGGTTCTCCGACCAACAATTCCGAGTCATTATCTATTACACCACCCGCCTATCCAAACATACAACACCTTGTATTACTAATCAGTCACCTATCTACTAACCTGTCTCGTCAGTGACTATAAGGCTACTGGTGTTTCAACATTATACGGCCGTAAATCTGAGAACTTTTCTGCACACTCACGTAATAAATTAGGAAAAAAATTTTCTATTATCCGAAACATTCTTGGAATGATAATGGCCATTCCCATAATTAGAGGCAATATCTCAATTCTTTCATGAGCCTCTTCAAATTTTCCATTCCGTCTCTGTAACCATCGATTGACTGGAAATAAAATTTTAAAAAAAAATATTTGTTTTTTTTTTTTGTTTTTTTTTTTGCAATTTTGTACTTTGTCCATTCACGTTGAGACAGATTCACATTTCTGCTAATGAAACATTACTTGGTAACGATAAATCACGCGTTAAAATTAAAATCATCCACCATACCCAACCCCGCAAAATAACTTCGTTGATCCATATTCCAAAGCGTTTTTATTCCAACATAAAAAAAATACATTCTGATATCGTTTTTAAAACCAAATCTCTGTTCTTTCTTCTTCATCCCCCACTTCCTGAAGGGTTATGGCCTATATGGGAGGTCTGAACAAAAGGTCTCAGGACTGATGATATAAAAAAAAAAAACTACAACATATATCAATTCGGCATTTAACCTCCTTCAAAGTAGTCCTCACTTCTAAAGCCAAACATTATATTCGGCATCGTTTCCATCAATAGAAACATTCGTGGAATTCCTTTTTTTGTGGGGGGGGATAGTGAGAAACCGCTTCCTTACATTCTCTTGTCTTGAAATCTTTTCCCCTTCAAGAGGGATTTCATTTTTGAAGAGGATAAAGTCGCAAGAAGTGAGATCTGTGGAATATGGTGGGTTTTCGAGTTGAGGAATGTTGGTCTGAGTCAACAACTGCTGCAAAAGCCAGTGTCATTGATGGAACCGTTAGGGTGTAGTGAAACGACCACACTCTACACACATTCCTACCAAGTAATTCTATGAACAAGGGAAGTGAGCAAGAACGTTATAACTTTATGTGTAATTATGTGTATATACGCGACAGTGTCCAAGTTCAATCTGTGCTAAGCGACGTACTTTACCTCTCTACGTGCTTTGCCTCTGTTGTCATAGTAACAGTCTCGATACTTTTTGATCAGACCTCGTATGTCAGGAACCTTCAAGAAGTGGGTGCTCCTGGCTCTGCACAACTTTCTTACTTTTGTTGCTTTAACATTTGACCCTTTACTATTCCTATTTGTCTTAAATTTGTTAAATAGGTAGTCCGTTCTATGTATTGCCTTTCGCATGTGCTTTGAGTGTTAAATTCCCCAGGCCTTCTATCCTCATTATAGATCACAGAAATTGCTTTGTTTTCATTGTAACTATCAATTTCCTAGTAGTTCCAATTTTCCTGGAAACACCCTGATTACTCATATGATCAGTCCATAATATTCTAAGCATGTATCGATATAACTGCATCTATTTTGGTTCAGCTATCTTCATACGTGAAGAGATTATTCACCATCCACGTGTCGATTACGTATAATTACTATAAAGATTGATTGATTCGTTTTCTACGGCATATCAACCATTTGCAGGTTATTTAAAGCCAGAAAATATTTTCAGATTGTAAGATTTTAGGGCAGGGATTCTTTTTTTTTTACAATGATGTTCACAAAGAATAAAAAAAGATTTTTGAAGGCTATCGGGACTGGTGTTATAAAAAGAAAACTGCAACATATATCAATTCTGTATATAATCACCTTCGAAGTAGTCGCCTTCTGAAGCCACACACTTTGTCCAAGGTTATTTCCATTGATGGAAGCAATCCTGGAATTCCTTCTTGGGGATACTGAGCTGATGTTTCGTCACATTCTCTTGAATTTCCTCAATAGTTTGAAATCTTGTTCTTTTCAAGTGTTATTTTATTTTTGAAGAGGAAAAAAGTTGCGAGGGGCGAGATTTGGGAAATATGGTGGGACATGAAGAATGTCGTCCTTGTCCATAAACTCCTCCACAAACCATGGTCACTGATGCAGCCTCTGTAGTGTAGTGAGACGACCACACTCTACACACTTTCCATTCAATTACTACTATAAACAATGGAATATAGTGAGAATGTTATAACTTAGTGTGAATACCAGACAGAGTTCAGTCTGTGCCAAAATCACTAAATCATTATGACACAAAAATTCTCACAATATGAATCAATTAAATGTAGATGAGCGAATAAGTTTGAAGACATCATTGATTCATTCTCTACGAATTATCAACCCTTTACAGGTTATTTAAAGCCAGAAAATATTTTTAGATTATAAGAATTTGGGGAGGGAGAGTTTTTTTTCTACAATGATGTTCACCCTGAATAAAAAGATTTTTGAAAGGTATCGAGACTGGAGCTATAAAAAGAAAACTGCAACATATATCAATTCGGTATATAATCACCTTCGAAATAGTCCCCTTCTGAAGCCACACACTTTTATCCAGTGTCGTTTCCATCAATAGGAAAATTCTTGGAACTCTTTTTTGGGGGATAGCGAGCAGCTGCTTTGTAGCATTTTCTTGGATTTCCTCGATGTTTTGAAATCTTGTTCCTTTCCAGTGGGATTTGATTTTTGAAGAATAAAAAGTAAGAAGGGTCGAGTTTTGGGGAATATGGTTTTTGTCAGCCTCGGGGAATGTTGTGCTTAGCCAAAATCTACTGCATAAGTCATAGTCACTGATGGTCATTTTCACAGATTGAGCTTGAACAATGTCGCCGGTACACACCTTCTCGCTCACTTCTAGTTTTTATAGTAGTAATTGGAAGGTGTAAAATTAAGCTTTAATTTTGATCTGATCAGCCAATAAAAATACATCTTTCTAGGTTGTCTACAAATAACTGTGTAAAAGGAACAAAAATGTCTTAATAAAGAGGATCTATATTTGAAAAAGGAGTTGATTTCTAAACGATTAGAACAAGCTACGAATTATAAATCTCTATAATTATTTATTCAAGATATTATCTTGGGACAGTTTTAATTTAAAGTTTTTAAAAAATATTATTTAATTTTTTTTTTTACTATTAGACTACTTATCGCGTTTAACCTTTCGTCTTATAGTGTGCGGGTGGTGTAACTGTGCGGAAAATGTGGAATCGTCAAGCTAAGTTCAAATTCCAGCCGATACCGTTCTATTCACTTTCACAAAAAAAATGCCATTGAAAAAGAAATGAATGCGTTTTCCTCACTCCACCAGTTAAGGATTAAACAATAGGGTAGACTGAACTCTCTAGCCATGGATGGTAACTAATCTTAAAACTCTAAAGAGAGACCAATCTATATTTCTCAAGAAACCATGGGAATTCACAGATAATAAAGAAAGGGAATCTTCGGAGAGACATGATCGCCTACGACCCGAAGAGAGAAAGAACTCAAAATTTGAAACTTAAAAGAAGGCAACAGGTAACCAGTATATAGTCTTTCCAAAGAATGCATATATATATATATATATATATATATATATATATATATATATATATATATATAAGGTGTGTTATATTTATGGAATAAAGTGCTCACTATTAAGGATAGAGCGTATGTAAAGATAAAAGTGAACATTGAAGACAACATTCAGAGGTGACAGACTGTTTCATGAGACAAGTTATCTACCATCGTCTGAGGAAGTACAATGTTCGTACTGAAACATAAAAGTTTTTTTGTGTAGCGATGTCAAATGTTTTTATTGTAATTTATTAAAATTGTTTTTACCGTAATTTATATTAAAAATAATAGAATAATATTTTCTTCTACTTTGTATAGAGCACTTTTAAAAATCAATTCTGCGAACTGTTTTTTACTACATCTGTTCTTTCTCTCTCATTTGAATACATATATATATATATATATATATATATATATATATATATATATATATATATATATATGTATTTGTTGTGGTAGGATCCACCTAATTTGCATAGTGGGAGTACCGACCATATAAATATGGTTGGTACGGGGAAGAAGGGAAGGAATCAAGAGATTCACTCTCAGTCGAACTCTCTGCATTTTGCAGTGAGGGACCCGACGAGGCTTTGCCGAGAGGCAGGGATTTCGTCCGGGGTGGTAGACAGGCCTTGAACCCGTCTAGGCGGGTTAAGAAAGGCCATATTTTTGGAGATACCCACTTTAAACCGGCCTTGTGCCACATTTTATCCTCGTGGGTGGATAGATAAATACAAGAATCAAGAGATTCAACCAGAGACTCTTCCCGACTGCGACTCAGTCAACACATTCTCCAGGAACGGTCTTACCAGGAATATACAAAAGACTATATTGTGTACACTTTCTTGTTTCAATACATTTTGTTCCAAGTACATTTTGTGTTGCATTATTATTCCATGCATTAGTCAAGTTTCAACAATATGTATATGTAGTATTTGGCTATTGATTAATACGCATAATTCGTTTGAACCTTCAGGTCATACTGTCTCAAATATGTCGATAGGGCCGGCCGCAAAAAGTTAATATTAACTCCTGTCGTATAATTTAAACATAAAACTGGAAAAATATGCTTATAATGCACAAATAATTATGATAGTCTGGCTCAAAGCCGCAAGTGTGGAACATCCAATAAGAATGGATTTCATTGATCGCTATTCCACAGCGAGTTATTCTATGGAATTTTTTGCTATTTAATGTATTTAATGAGCTGTAGATTGTCCAGCATTCACTACCAACGAAGAGGATCCAATCAATATAAGAGGATCCCACAGAAATTCAGCGCTCTTTTCTAACGAAAATATTCCGTTTCTTTGAAAAGACAGTGAAAATTTCATGGAAGAAGCGAGTTAGCAACACGGAAGTCTGTTAAAATAGTAACAGAAAGAACACTTCTACTCAGAATCAGGCAAATTCTTTTAAAAGACAATGAAGATGGCGGGTTTGGAAAACTTAACCCTCAAGGGCCATATTGAAGGTAGCATTTATGCACTTCGGTGTGGTGTAATCGTTAGCAACCTTGTTTCATTAGATCAGTTACGACTGAATAGTGAGTTCGATCCTCACTCGGTGCCCCATATTTTCAGCCTTTTGGCGCATCTAAGCTGCGCGTAGGATGTTACCATATTGAGGGCACTTACCTGATGAGGTTGTGTGAATGGAAGGTGAAATTGGGAGCAGGAGCCTTGGCAAAGGGAGGGATGCTAAGGAAGTTGTAGAGGGCCATGATCATCTGCGTGTTGAAGAAAAAGAAATGAGGAGGAAATAATAATAGTAACAAGAAAAGAGGAGGAAAAAAAAGAAAAAGAACAGGAAAAGAGGCCAAGAACAAAGAAGGAGAAAAAATGAGGAGAAGAAGAAGAAGAAGAAGAAGAAGAAAAAAATGAAACGAGGTGGAAAAATGAAGAAGAAGATGAAACGAGGTGGAAAAATGAAGAAGAAGTTTTACTGAGATGAGTTGAAAATGCCAGTAAGGCGCTTGAAATGGCTACTTTTGTACGGGTCATGGTAGATAGGACGTTAGTGCGAGTTGCTGTTGAATCTCTATGAGTAAAATGATGTGCAATAAAATCCGCCATTATTTTCTGAATAAGCCTATACTTGGTGTAATTTTCAGCTGGAATAACAAATGCACATTGATTTTAATTGTGTTGCATGACAAGTCGATTAATACTTTGAAGTTACTCGGGGCGACCGATCGGCAGCTGA